ATCTCGATAGACACATTAAAAAAAACGCTAATTGACAGAACGTTTTTCAAAAAGTCATTTACGATGCCGTATGAGCTTTCCAGTACTTTTTTTAATTGTCAGGGAAAGATGACGATTAAAATTCTTTTAAACTTACGATTTAGATTGAGTTTTGCGCCTGTCTATATTGAACTATATTGAAATGAGAATAAAGCCGGGCTTAACGGTAAGGACCTGTTAAAATGTTTGTCTTAATATTGCTCTCCGAACTCGCGAACAAAAGTCGGGGGTCACAATGAAACCGAGAGATCTGCGGTTTTACCTTTTCGCACAAAGAGCCGCAAATAGGATTGCCGAGTTGAGTCGGAATCAACATCCGGACGAATTTTCGACACATGCACGATATTTCCACAATGAAATTTCCACAACAAAACAAACGTGTATTTCGAATTCGCCACGTAAATTAAATACCTACGTTACCTAACATCGATAGCGACTTATTTTTTGCGAGTAATAACATGTTTATCGATTAGAATTTTAACGTGAGAGAAACGTGGATACAAAATAACAGGAAGTTTACGGTATCTGTGGTCAATTGCGGTCTGAGGATTTGAACGAAAGGCGATGAAAATTTTCGAAAACAAGATACGACACGTCAAAATATTAATTAATAAGTTCATACAAAGCATTTGGCCAAACCAACCACCAGAAGTTTCATTTCAATATCTCCGATTAAGGAATACGATGTTATAATGTTATTAATGTTTGTTTATTTCGATTAATTTTTTGGAAAATCAAATGCTAAGTAAATTGTCCTTACTTTTTCTGTAAACGTTAAAATATGCAAACCATATTTATGGATTCAGGACACCCGAATGGGAGATGCAACATATGTGTTATACGAGAGCACTTGGAGATTGGTGTTTCATAAGGTGGGGAGTTGTCAATTAACCACGGTCAATCGACCACTTCCTAATTGACTAAGCAAAAAATGTTTTAAATAACATCTTATAATTGTATTTTATAACAGGGAATACCCGAGTACGATACTTAACAATTCTAGGCATCCCAATAAAAATATCGACTCTATTTAATTTCCAGAAAGACGCGATGGCGACGTAAAGTACAATATAAATAACTAAATATAAATTTCATTGCATTTTTAAAATAATTTCAGTCAACTGACACAAAAAGATTTAAAAAAAAATGTTGAACACCAGATTTAACGTCTCTTACATGTTCGGCAGAATTGGGGTTTAAAATTATAGAATCAATAAATTAAAATTTTAGGTGAAAATTACGTGTCATTAAAGCTACACATGTTTTGGTAACTTTCCAAACCTGCGACAGTAAGTTGTAACTCGATGAAACGAATACAGCATACATTGTTGCAAAATTTCTTGACACTACTATATCACAGTTCGAAAATTTCGATCTGTATTAAATATTTATACCAAACTTCGATTTTTTTTTTTTAAATATCAATTGTTTGACACCCTTTTCGCTTAGTGGAAGGCCGCGAAACGGATACTTTTACGATTTCCAAGAGTTTCGTACGAATCAAAAAATATTCTGCTACTTTTTGCTGGGATTTTGGTAGTATTACTTTTGAAGATATCTAAAAATTTGGACATAATTAAAGGTCCACGAAACGCGGCGAATACCTTAGGATTAGCTATTTCTTGTACGGCTAATAATTTATTCTCTAAAAGAACAATTTTCAGGGTCTTCTGTCATTAACTAAAACACCTTGTATATAATCGAAAAAATGCGTGAGACAAAAGTTATAGCACCGGGCCTCCCACGTATTATTGTTGAAAAATTTTTCCGATAGGATGAATGATTTTGGAGGAAAAGATGATTACCAAAAAAAAAAAAAATACTTGGCGATATTTTATTTCTCCCAATTCAAAGAGACTAAATTCCGGTCTAGACTTCTATTTCTCTCCCAAGTCTGAAGTCGATAGCTGCAAATTTGGAGCACTTATTATGCTTTTTAATATTGGACGGACTATCGCGAACACCCTGTACAATACTTAAAAACCTTAAATGCAAAAGTTTCAGCCGTCTATATAGGCTATATCGTCATGTAATAGAATCTGACATCTAAAACACAGATTTCAAATTATTGCAAATTTTCAATTATAGGGTTACCCATTTTTCAGTTGTTTTGGATTTGTGGCGCACCCTGTATATTTTTGAAAAATTGTCAAGAATAATAGTTTATGGAGCTGTATTCTCTGCGTTTTCTGGTTCAAGAATTTTTTCGATTTTATAAAGGGTTTTTGAAAAATGATCTTTTTTGTAGACCTTTGCACACGCGACTTTTAATTTTTTTAAAATACTTCCCGACTCGCCAGCCCCCCCCCCCCCCCCATTTTCAATAGGTTCCGTCACGGGCCAAAGTTGCATATGTGTGCCAAATATGAAGTCCATTGCTTCAAATTTGGCACACATATGCAACTTTGCCCCTTTGCTATGAAACACTTATTGTGTTTCATAGCAATGTTCAAAAAACAGTCGAAAATCAGGGCCAAAAGAACACAATGATTGTAAATTGTAAAACATTTTGGTTAGTTGGTTGGTGGGATGACATTAAAAGAGATAAAACATAAAATTAACATGTGATTTTTGATAAATACATGTTTTGAAGCTGAATGTTCTTCAGACAGTCTGAAAACTGGAATAATTATTAAACCCCTATATAAAAATGGTGATTAGCTGGACCTTTCAAATTTTAGGCGAATGTCTTCAAAATATTCGGGCACGCGCTTGTCGAGCGCTCTTTCTCTATTACATAATGTCTAAGCTGTCTGCATTTGTAATCGTGCCCATGCACAGAAGCAAAGCGTCTTATCGAATATTTTATTTAGTTTTTAACGGTTTTGCTTGTTTATCTTGTCTGTTTTCAGTAATTGTGCTGTTTGGTTATTAATATTATTATATAAAGCTGTAAAACCCATTTTGCGTGAACTAGAAATACACATTCGAACGCGATCCGACTACACTGCGTGCTCGTGCGAATTGGCAACAACGATCGGAAATCGAGAAAAGCCTGAAAACCCAAAGGCCCTTCTTAAAACTCGACGGGGATCTGACTTATTGATTTATTTTTATTATCCAATTACTTAAAACGTTTCATCGCGTGTTTTCTCCATGCCGAATAATATTTTAATGGATACTTTATATTAACCTGTTACGGTTAAGTAAGCGACTATTAAGGGTGCTATTTACGGGACGTCGGCGGGGCGGCGGGACGCGGGGAGCGTTGGTCGGTTCCAAATGGACTGACTGCCGTAAAAACGGCGGAAAACGTTCAACGTTTTTATTGGATCCTTTTCGAGTCGCACCGTTTATAATCGAAGTATTTTCACCGTATACGATCACTATTATCGTTTCCAATTAAATAGTTGGGCGTCAAAATCGCTCCGCACCATTACTTACGCAAATTGAGTTATTATTTACGTCTTAATAGTTAAATATCTTTCTTTTATTTATGTCGGTCATCTTCAACAAATACTAATGTAGCATTTTTTAACGTTAAGAAATATCCAGCCTGATCAATCCTCGATGAAGACACCAAAAGCGTAATTTGAAGAAAAATTCACTCTTTTTGTTTTAAAAAAAGGAATACCCATTTTAATGATGATGGATAACCGAAAATACTTTCACTGGAAATTGTTTGTTCTCGGCGAAAATAATTGGGAAGTATGAAGCGGTGCCGAAGAATGCAGAAGAAAATCTCGATGAGACTTGGATTTAATGAAGGTTATATGGTACCAAAAAGGGCCTGTCGACGGGTATTAAAGTGCCTTCAGGAAGAGGAAAGATATTAATAATACTCTATATTGGAAGCGAAAAGGGATTTTCAATAGAAAGTTTGCTAACCTTTGAGTCGATTACCGAGAAGACATAAATTCAGATGTTTTCGAAGATCATTTTGATGTTCTTCCGGATGATTCAGTAGTGGTTATCAATAATGCAATCATTCGCGAAGCATAGAGCAAATTCTAAGTTCATCTTGGAGAAAACAAGAAATTATGGGCTGGTTAACCATCAAAAAAATTGAATTTGAACATACAGGGGGTTTAGTTCGGCGATAGTCGAAATTGTTTTTTTTTAAATGTCTCATTCGAAATGGAAGCTACTTTCAAATCCTGATATATGTTTTTGATATATTTGTTGACAAGGCAGTCGAGTTGGAAACTTATTTGGTATGTTAAATTAATTCAACTTTTGTGGAACACACAAAATTTTTTTTTTTATTTATTTTTTTATTTGTGACGTTCTCTGATGCTTTTTAGTATTGTTAATTTCTTATATATTATATGCTAAAGATCCAGGATTTCAAATTGTTCAAAATCTTTAATTTTGAATTCAGAATGGAAAGATCTCCTCAGAGAATTCATTTAGACCGGAAACCAAGATGGTTTATTTGACATTTGTAAGTTATTGATAAGGCTTTCTCGTCTAAAGTTACACAGAAAAGATGTTTTAAAATGTAGATATAGCAAATAGGACAGGTTCTATTTCGAGAGAGGCACTTAAAATGACGTGCTCAGCATGAAATGAATTAAAAATGGTCAAAATACATCGCGACCACTTAGTTCAAAGAAGGATAAACGATTCAAATGATTTCACAATTACCCTCAAAAACCTAAACAGGTGGATTATAAAATGCGCACCGGGCTAACATTTTCCGTAGAAAGATTCAGACCAAACTACTTCTCAAACTCTCCGATTATTATATGTGCTCGTACCTATATATAACAACTTCTGAACAGCGGAGATACTGATTTATTTCACATAACAAGCATATACAAAATGTTCTTCTAATACATTTTCTATTAGATTTAGAATGATCTCCTAAAGTTTCTTTTTGTATTCCCGACTATGTAATTTTACATGTTTACTATGCGATATCCTGAAAATTAGGTTTGTAAATAAATAAATAAATTATCCTAAGCACTTGAGATTTAGTTTACTGCGCTCCGTTGAATCACATTTACATTTGTTTCCAGAAACCACCCGTAAACGGAAAAAGGCAAGGGAACAACCGTTGGACTTAAAAGTGCCGGTTCCTCAGATCGAAACCAACCACCATTTTCAACAACAATCGCAGCAGCATCAGCAACAACAGCGTCAGAGTCAAATTGATACCGCGCAGCCCACCATCGTTGACGAAACGGCCGAAAACAAAAAAGGCAAAAAGAAAGCACGAACGACTTTTACCGGGCGGCAGATTTTCGAATTAGAGAAACAATTCGAACAGAAAAAGTACCTCAGCAGCAGCGAACGGTCGGAAATGGCGAAGCTTTTAAACGTTACGGAAACACAGGTAAGTGATCCTCAAAGGACTTTGTTTTCCTGTTAATATTGATTATCGGTTCGTTTATATCCCGAGATGTGTCGCGTGTTTTGTTGTTTTAATTTTTCCGATAACAAACGATGAAAAGAAAATTAATTCCGACGATAAAAATAAAAGCGAACGTAAAAGTGTTAAAAAGCACCCGATAAAGTGCGAAACGAGAAAAATAAAAACAAAGGTTACCTTTAAATTTTATTTGTTTTCGAAGTGACGGAGACAGAATTAACTTTTTATGTCTTAATTACCGAACCATTAAAAGTCGATTTATTTTGGAAGATCGGATCCCGGCCCCGCTGTGGGACTCGAAATAGAATATTAAAACGAATTCCCGCACGGCGTCGCGCAACGTTGCCGGATTTATCGGGTTTCAGAGATTTTCCGAATTCCGACGAACCTTTTATTTAAAAAAAAAAATCATGAAAATTATAACAATAATATATATAAAACCTTTAAAACGAAATTTTCCGGCTGTTTTATGATTTTCGATTTCGATTTATAATAAAATAAGAAAAGTATTGCGCAAATTGTCACGTGTCAATTACATTAGCCTTGTTTGCGAGCCACGTCGTTTCCGGTACTTTAGTCACGCCTGTAGATAAATATGGTCACTTATCATTTTGGCGATTGTCCATTCGTACGTACGATTGTCGTATGTATTCGGGTACGTACGACAATTATAACGCAAAATGTTAATATATGTTATAATTATACGAAATACCTAAAACTCCTTATGCAGGTTTGAAACACATATTTTTAACATATTAAATAAAACCTAAATTACTATTCTACCCTGCCGTATCATAATCAGGCTTTTTGTTTATTATTTATTCCTCTTTATAAGAACATTAATAATAATAATAATAAAAATAACGTTAACATATAATAATAATAATAATAACATATAACAAAAGGCTAAGTTGAAGTTACACCTCTTCACTTTGCGGTATATTAATTATTTGTTATTTGTTAGTCAAGCCTCTACAACATATATAATTAAAAAGCAAGCAATACGAAAGAAGATTTATTTATACATGTAGATATATGCTTAATTTATAAATAAAGTCCTAGGTTAGATGAATAGACAGCTGTTAAGCTGATCTTCCTTGCTGAACTAAAACTCTCTTAAAGCATTAAGTATGATACTTTTTGTTTTTTGTTTTGGATCAATGAAATACCATCAGCTTCAATGCAGGAATGTAGCCTACTACGCGATGTAAGGACTTTCGCATTGTTAGAAAAACTGTTTTTTTAATATTTAACACCCCTTGGCATGTATATATACTTATAAACACCCTGTATACAACATAAATATAAAGGATAATTTAAATAGGCACGCTTTGCGTTCTTAAACCCCGGAAAATGCCTTTTAGGGATATCGAGTCGAATAGAAAATTTTAAAAAGATGCGTAGGTTGGAAGTAACCAATTAGAGTCACTAAAAGAAGATGGCGGAACGTAAATAGCGACGCCCCCGCAAAATCCGCGAGCGGCAAACGAAAAACGAACAAAAATACAAAAAGCGTTCTGCAGTTTGGTTAATATTTGATCCGTGTAAGTTTTGTTGGCAATTAGGAACGACATGGGGGCTAAATAAGCGCCGGCGGGTGGCCAGCTGCCGATGTAACTCATCTCATCTCATCGCGTTTCCCTTCGCATCGCAAGCCCACGCAGGACCGGACAAGGCAACTTCCATCGATCGAACGGTTACGGAAATATTTCGAAAAATAAAACGTTTTGCTCGGAAATTACTAGTCGTGTTCTGGAACATTAATACGCCGAAATAAAACCCGGAAAATTCTCGAGAACTTTCAAAAAAAAGTTTGCCGCGATACGATTACGCAAATATTTCTTACTGGGAAACTATTAGCCGCAGCCCATAGATCGATAATAGCAGCCGGGGAAGCAGAATTTGTTTAGCGTATATTTTTTGACCAATTTATGAACTATTCGAAAGTCTATTTCGGGTGTAGAGTAGTACGATCTAATTAGGTATGCAAACGGATTACAGAGTGACCCAAAGAATACTTAAGGCAGAATTTTTTTACTAAAAGTGGCCAATCTGACAACACTGCTGTTGCCATTTTTTAATTCTGTACGTTCAAAAACCCCCAGGTACTGAATTTTATCATTCCAGCTTGGTAGCTTTTGAGATATTTAAGCGTTCTGGTAGTTTTTACTAACCCAGTATTGTCTCAGTCATAAAAAGGGGAATCAATATTAATTATTATTGGCATTTTCACCAGTAAATTTATACACATTTTGCTAAAAGAATGCATTAATTTGTTTTTAATTTTTTACTCATATTAAGAAACAGAAATGTAAATGCGGTTTTCGCTAACATGCAAGCAATCGAAATCATTCCGTTTAGGGCAGTGTTGATGGCCTGAGAATCATTTTCAACGACTCCAAGTTTGACACCATCCGTTCAGCCATTTTGAAGTTATTGTCATTGATTTCTGAAAATACTTGGAAACTCTCAGTATTGTAGTACTGTTCACTTTTGGAGGGAATATTTCAATGTTCGGCTGTGTTCGGGGCAGCGCATACACAGTATAACAACTTAACAACAATAACAATAGTTAGTATAGAATGGAACAGGTCGAAGGTTTGTAAATCTTGCAAAAATAAAGAATAAATATTTTATGTTACCATTACTTACCCAGTTTTATTTTCTTTTATCTTTTAGACCATCTAACAAAGAAGTTAACTCTCAACCTGAAACTAATGAACAAAAAGGCTTTAGCAAAATATTAACCAACTAAAACGGAGGTTGCCAGGGAGGAATACAAACGGAATTTCATGACCCAGTCTATTCGTAATGACAAGAGAGCTTATTTAAACCACAAATTTAAACAAGATCCAAAAGGTTTCTGGTAAATTCTGAAATACCTTAATGTTAATTCTAAGGCCCAGCTCTACGACAGATGGTTGCGGTACAGCTGAATCATTCAATAATATTTTCATCGACAGTGTTCCTGAACTGTACGATGGGGACTACGATATTATCAATGAATATTATAATAGACAATTCAAACAATTTAAAAATAAAATTTATTTTTCTGAAGTGACTGGAGAAAGTCAGATACTCCCGTCTGTAAAATACCTAATTACCCACCGATCTAGCGTGCGGGAAGCGTCACTTTACCACGTCAGCTTCGTTTCCCATGAATCAGGTGTTTTTGAAGATATTTCGCACGTTTGTTAATTCTGACAGTCATATCAGTGAATGTATTCGTGTTGTTTTACGAAAATGTACTCAAAAACTAACGGCCGTAGAAAAAGTATAGTATGCAACACGTTCGGTAACATTTTTGTTTATTAAAAACTCGCTCCGCTCATGTCAAATAAACTCGTGAGTCAAATGCCATTTACCGCACTTGTTGCATAATATACTATAAACTTGTCTCTCCCGTTCTTCCCCACCTCACACCTCATAACTTTTCACATTAATAAATGTAGTGTTTAATCAAAATTTCCTTCCTTACGGAAAAAGTCTCATGTTGCGCCAGTAGTTACGGTTTCCTCCCCAAATACTCTCTCTCATTTTCGGCCATTTAGCATATTGTGTTCGTTGTCCAAAGTATACTCTGGTACTCTTGGACTTAAGCAAGGAGTTCCATACGCTAGATCATACTGTACTTCTTAAGAAGCTTAAGTATTTTGGACTGAGCCATTCAGCTGTGCATTTTTTTAAGAGTTATTTGAAGGACCGATGCCAAAGAGTGTAATATTGCTAGCTTTGTTGCTACTAAGAAGGAATATCCCAGGGAAGTGTGTTGGGACCGTTATTGTTTTTAGTCTATACGGCAGACTTTGCGTATCACCTCAAATATTGCATGTCTCATCAATATGCTGATGACATGCAGATTTATTATACATTTTATAAAGATAACATAGATGAAGCAAGTCATTATATAAACACAGATTTAAATACAGTATCTCGGTTGTCTTCTGTTCACGGTCTGCTTCTTAATAGCAGGAAGACTCAGCTACTTCTTTTTGGTTCTAATGGAGAGAGCGTCTGTGGTTTTAAATAATGATGGATGCTATGAAGGCCATGTGACAACATTAATATAAAAAATCATTTTAAATAATGAAAATGTTGTACATGTTTAAGAACATTCTCACGACGAACATTTGATTAAAACGGTGTGATAGTCTAATACTATCGAACTTGGGGTATGGAGACGTTGTTTATAGTCTTACTTCAAAAAATAAAGGATGTCTGCAAAAAATTCAGAATTCTTGTTTATGTTATTGCGATTACCTCAGGAAAAATGATTATATCACTGATTATCTAAAACAGTCTAGGTGCTTACACCTTGCCACTCTAGTACATAGCATTAAAACACCTGCCCTCTGATTTATTTAACAAAAAGGGTCCAACATCCACCAGCGTGTTCATGGCGCTGCGAGTTGTACCATATTCCCAAGCACAATACTCAAATTTATAATGACATCCCTGTTACTGTTAAAGTTTATCCATCTGCTAGGGCGTTTATAAATAAATTCAAAGATGTATTGTTAATGAGGAGAGAATGAGTTAAGTATATAAATAATCAATCGCGTTTCTTTTTTTTTTAAATAATGTATGATTGTTAAATTATAATTCTTATAATGTTTTCTTAAGGGTGATTAAATGAGCAGCTATGCTGGATCCCACCACCAAGTGTGTATTTATTGCATAACGTATCCCTACAGCACCAATAAAGACATTTGAATTGAATTAAATTGAATTAAATATTTCATATTTGTTTAGACTGGAAAGGATGGAGAACGTTCTTATAATCCAGCTTTCATTTCTGGGTTATGGTGCGGTTTCCGTACAACCAAGAGGAACCAATTGTCTTCTTTTTTTTTGCATGCGTTTTACTCATTTTATTTTTGAAATAAGACGTTATTAATTAGAAACCGTTGCAGTTTTGTTACTTTTAACTAAAATTCTAAGACAACTGTGTTTAAGACTCGCCT